TGTGTGGGGGGGGGGGGGGGGGGGGGGATTTTAAAAATCCTTAGGGGTACATGCCCCCCTCCCCCCTTAAATTCATCTCTGAATGTCTAACACTTACTAGATTCCCTTTGCTAAACTCTACAGAGTTCTTGTTGGACATTGGAACTTAGATAGTTTGTCTATACTGTACGGGTTCAACAAATATATTTCAATATCTTTGTCAAATTACTCCAAATTGATGTAGTTTAATAAATATAAACGGCATCTATAATATTCTCTATTGGTAATTTTATAAATACATCGTAGATTTATTCTTTTTAGTTCTTCTATATGTGTATACTCCAAATTAACACTTTCCTCTAACCGTGCTTATAAATGTCTGGTACTCATTTTCACAACTATAGTGTCTTATCACAGGTGAAATCTCGAATACACCCGTGTTAGTTCTGCATTAAATTGTAAAACCTTAACGTATATAAGAGAGTTATCCTTCGTATTACTTATCAACTAAGTTGCTCGGACTCTCCAAAAATGTTGCCGCACCCGTGTTGGATCCTTCAAAAATACACTATTTTTGGAGGATCCGACATGCACCCGTCGACATTTTTGAAGAGTCCGAGCAACATAGCTTATCAATACTGATGACTATTTCTGGTTTTCATTTTCTGTCGAGGACTGTGATGCGATTGTTACCATCATTAACTTCTTCTTAACTCAATTAAGCTTTAGTATCTGCCTGATACACTTTGTTAAAGCAAAACCATTTCAAGGTCGTACGCATATCACCAGAAGTTTTCAGAAGATTACCCCTGGAATCAGTAATATCATTATACATGGAAATGATTGCTCATGGTATAACCCAAGAATAATTAGGAAACATCATGTAAAGATGGAAAGTATTCTCTATTGGTACATTTATGAATACATCGTAGATTTGTTCTTTTAGTTCTTCTATATGCTTATATTCAAAATTAACACTTTTCTCTAACTGTGCTTATGCATGTCTGGTACTCATTTTCACAACTATGGTGTCTTGTCACAGGTGAAATCGTGAATACACCTTGTTATATTTACATGTAAGTTCTGCATTAGAAACCTATAATGTACATAAGAGAGTTATCTTTGTATTACTTATCAATAGTACTGATGACTATTTCTGGTTTTCATTCTCTATTGAGGACTGTGATGTAATTGTTAATCACCAATGTCTTCTTCTTAACTCAATTAAGCTTTAATATCTGCCTGATACAATTTGTTGAGGCACAACCACTTCAAAGGTCGTACACATATCACTAGAAGTTTTCAGAAATTCATACTAGGGAATTAAAACAAGTACTAGAGAGTCACTCACACCTAGGATGTGATCTAAAGCAATTTTGGAACTCCTAGAATCTTCATTTATGTCAAGGAGATTCAACAGTTAATATATAACCAAAAAAGTTTGTTTTAGCCCGAATTGCACAGTACGATATCCCGACTAAGGGAATTAGATTGAACCCTTTTCCTCCCTTTAGCTGCACCCCTGTTTATACGTGCATGAGAAGAGGTAACCAAGAACAAATTGGGACTAAACCCATATACAAGTATGCATCTAATCAATAAGTATTTCAAGAATTAATCAGACAATCACTTATTTATATCAAAAGAAAAGAAGCTACTCTTTATAGTTACTGCAAATTACAAAATACAATTAAAGGGTGAAAAATGAAGGGGGCGTGGGCCACAAGTTTTACCTGAGGCAGCAAGAAGAATACCCTCGACAAGGATAATTCCACCAAGTCCTAACCAAGCAAGAAGAAATGCACTCTCATTTTTCTGAAATTCCTTGGATCCAGATTCCTCCGCTGGTTGGGTAGCTAAGCTGGGCTTTTCAATGGGTTCTCGTCGGATAATTGTATCCCTCTCTCTTTTCCCCTTTTGTTGTTTCTTCTTTACTGTGGTGGAAACCGATGACCCAAAACCTAAAGAACTCGAGCTGGCTGCCTTCTTAGCCACCGGAGATGATGCGGTGTCCTCTGAAGAATTATCAGAAGAAGAGTCCTCGAATTTGATGGAGAAATTTCTGGGGTTGGAGTGTTGATGTCGTTGAGAGTGGAGAAGATGAAGATGAGGTCTCTTCGTATGTGGTGAATTCAGTAGTAGCGCCATTTTCAGTTTACTTTGTTAACTGCCTCTTTTTTTCTCTTCTTCGTTCTTTAATTGTTGCCTTTGATGTTTAGCACACATTTCCTTATTTCTTATCCCAGAACATAAACTAAAATTATACTAGTTAATGATATAATAGTGACTTTAACCCGATCTTCTTTTACATTTTTATCATTGTTAATTTGGTGATATTTTTCTATTTTGAGATTAGTGTGAACTGATATTATTTTTCTTTTTGAGAGATTGATATAGAGCTACTTAAGAAGAAAGCAAACAAATTTGTTTTAGCAATAATGTATTTGAATTTGCCTCTACTTGTAATTTGTGTAGACTTTTAAAGGAGTAAATTCTTGTTGATAAAATCAAAACCGAACAGGATGAAAAATCAATAATAAGTATCTTATTTTATTGATTTAGCGTATTTACAAACCGAAAACCAATAAACATCAAACCAACCTATGTGCACCCCTTAACCAAACACCCTTTCTTTGGTTTCACACATTGATATACTCCTAGCAACTTCTTGTTATTTCTTTCTCTATACTGCTTTGGACTGTTTTTTTTTTCTTCAGCTGAATATCCGAAAACAGTCTCCTACCTCCAAAATTGGGGTAAGGTCTATGAACACTTTATCCTCCCCAAACTCTACTTTGTAAGATTACACTAGATATGTTGTTGATATACTCCCAGCATCATTACATCTCTTTGGTTTTATCAGATATAGAAACACTATCCAAATTAAGCAAAAAATAATCAAAATACACATAAGTAGTTTCGCCGAAGAATTGCTCAATAAATAGTCTGGCCATGAGGTGTTTCCTCTGAACGCCATCTTAAAGAATGACATGCATGAAAATACTTTAATTTGCTTGCTTGGCCGTGATGAAATCACCATATCAGCGCTATTTAGTTGTTATTACGATGGAAAGCTTCTTTTAAAATCAACTCCAACTCTTCAATGGTGGGCTGCTATCTGCGTGCACAATTCATGGTTTAGTACAGTGGAGGGAATGTGTTTTCTCAATGCGGGGGTAGAACTCCTTTTAGCATTTCAAGAGTTCCATTTCCTTGCAAAGGCTTGTAATGTCCGGTATTATTCCCCCATGGCAACTCCTTACAATGCCACTCCCAGCAAGATCATTCAGTATATCAGCTGGATCTTTGGCTCCTCCATGCTGCAAGAATTTTGTTCTCAAAGCCGAACCAGTGTCCAATGATAAAGGATCCTCTTGGCACATCCTTTGCCAGATACTCGTGGCAAAGCATTTTGCATACAAGTAGCTATAATAACCTGCACAAGTAAGGCAAAAGTTATTGCACCATTTTCTTAGCAAGGGCACTGAGCAAAACTAAAAATACAATCGATATAAGCTACCGTAGAACTGATAAAATCCTTACAATTATCATTTTCAAAAAAGAATTGACAAAATCCTTAGACCTTGCTGTTACTATTCTCAAAAAGAAGAATTGACAAAATCCTTACTGTTACTATTCTCAAAAAGAACTGATAAAATCCAGAGATTCAAAACCAAGCATTCCAAATAGCAATGTTTATCAAAAAGAAATAAGTCAAATAACAATGAAGACAGAAAATCTTCACAAATATCTAATACGAATGTTGCTCTACCTTCTGGAAAAGGTAATTATTTATTACACTCTAAACTAAAATCTTCTGCATGCTTTAAGATAGAACTCTACAACTAGAACACGTTGAAAATAAAAGGGTTGTATGTTATGGAATAGAAAATTCTTGCATCTGCTATTTCCACAGTTCTCCATTACACTATATGAAGCAGTGAGTTTTCTATGTCAACTATTGCCTTTTAGGGAACAAAAAACCTTTATGGACATGATCATTTGATTACAAAACATATTTTAATTTATATAAGTAGTCGTGGCATCTCAAAATTTTGGTTCATCAATCGAATCCCCTTTCGATAAGATTGCAGAGGTCTCTAAGAACGAAAAATTGACGTCCAGAAAAGGAGAATACATGATTTAACCACTCAGTAAGAAGAGAAGGCAAAAACGAAAATACCACCCACCATAACATCTTGCCAAAACTTTAACTAGCCCCATCACTGTCTCTCACTACTACTGAGTTCTGAGAATCGCACAACAAATTATAGAGGAATGCCACATCTACCAAGCAACCAATCTATCACTTAGTTCGATTTTCAAGACAGACTTTAGCTCTTAGTATAAAGTTGATAAAAACGTTCTGATTGGACCACCAACTATGAATCATGCATTTCTAGTAAATTATGTCTGAATAGCCAAACAGTAGGTGTGCAGATGGTATATCAGACAAAAAGTAGTGCAATATTCTCTCACATATACATGCAACTATCACATATAATTAGGGGTGTTCATGGTTCGGTTTGGATCGGTTATTAGTTAAAACCAAAACCAAATCAATTTAAATCGGTTTTTAAATTTCTAAACCAAACCAAACCAAATAAAAAATAATAATTATCGGTTTGGTTATCGCTGGTTTGGTTAGTTTTTTTCGGGTTTTTTCGGTTTGAAAGTAATAAGTTTGTTGAGGACATACGCATCTCAATAGACACAAACACTTCGTACATGAATAATTCACAAATAAGCTATTACACAAACAAAGTGATTCATCCAATGTACCAAGTTTCAGAACTAAAAAAACTCATTGTCAATAACATAAAGTTGGTTCAATATTCTGCAGATCTCAACATCTTATCAATAGACTTTTCAATAAAATTACACCTTAAAATATTGAGAATTAATTCTCAAAAAAAAAACAACAACCAATATTTCATAGTCAACTAATCAATTACCATCTTCTTTAGTTTGAGATTTAAATTATTCAATGTTACGTTAGAAAATTTTATAAAGAACAGAGAAAGTGTCATCTTTAAAGTAATGAATATTGAGGGATTTACTTTTACTAGTTAGGCTAAAATTTAAGTGTTGGGCTTCAGAAAATAGTAAAATTAAAACTTAAGTTAATTAAATTTATCAAAATACTTATATTTTATTTGTAAATAATTATAAAATTTATATATATAACTTCTTGGTCCGGTTTGGTTATTTTTGCGGTTAATTTTTAGTAAAACCAAACCAAATAATATCGGTTTTTCAAATTTTAAAACCAATCCTAACCAAATCAAACCAAATATCGGTTTTTTTAATCGGTTTGATTCGGATTGCGGTTCGGTTTGATTTTATAACCATAACCATGAACAGCCCTAACAATAATGTTCTATTCAGATACCTGCGCCATAGTTTGTAAGGTGACTGAATCGGGTATGCCAATGTGTTCCATCCACATGCGTCCAACTTGTATGTTGTCTTTTTAAATCTGCAACAATTGCCATCGTATCTATCCCTGCGGATGGCTGCTCCCCAAAGAGTGTTTGATCAACTAGTGCATAGAGAATCTGAATAAATGAGAAAGTTGCATAGGTCAAAATTCCTGCCTCAAGTTTGATAAAGTGGAAATGAAGAAATGCTTATAAAAAGAGTTACTAGGAAGGGGCCGTAAAACATACCTGGCGTTGCAATTCAGTTGCAGCAAACATCTTTTTAGCTCCCACCATTGATTCTACAAGTTCTTTGGGAATAATATCACCAGTTGAGTAGTGTTTAGCAAATGTCTTTAACACCCGATAATCCCAGGCATAGGACCTATGGATCAACAACAGTTAAAAAGCTTCAGTAATAACTGATGAGACGGCAATAACATGCGCATTTATCCTGAAGATAGAATAAATAGCAATTGCATAATAGTGGTGGATTAACCTGAAACTAGAATTAAAAGACTTTTCTATTTCGTGCCAAATCTAATGACGACGATATCACAAGAAAGAAAAAGGTAAATAAACAGCAGATAATCAAATGAGCAGTGTGCATCTAAACATTTTCTTCATTGCTGATGAAAAGTATGGATCAAAGATATTGCATTTGGCTCACTCAAATAGGTTTGAAGGCGTTTCAGCAAAATCAAGAACCACCCTCGTACCGGAAAAGTGTTGGTATTCCTGCACAGGTAGCCAGCAATCAAGTGAACTCGATTATGATTTCAAAGCATAAGTGAAAACCACTAGCAAATAGAATCAGAATAAAACTAGTACCGTTCTTGAAAGCAATGAATGTAGAGCATGCCCAAACTCATGGAAAAGTGTTTCTACTTCAGAATGGTTAAGCCTCACCGGAGCCAAACTCGACCCAGAGAAATTGCAAACAAGCGCTACAACCTACAAATTAACATGCACAGATCATTTTCAATTACTCCTACTAGGTAAAATAGTTAACATGCACAGATCATTTTCAATAACTAGGTAAAATACAATAGAATTACTGCAACGATCCACATAATATCCATGAAGCAGTGAGCTTAAAGTAGACTCTAGCATGATATATGCATTTAAGGAATCAGTTCTTCTGGGAGGAGAATGCCAAACACGGAAAGTTTCATCTGGTTAAATGGGATAAGGTTATGAGGGACAGAAAGGGGGGAGGAATGGGAGTAAAAAATCTGAAGATGCACAACAAGAGTGATTTTCAAGTGGTTGTGGAAATATAATTCAGAAGATCAAGCATTCTGGAAGAAGATAATTGAAGCTGTCTATGGTAAAAGAGATGGTTGGAGACCTTGTCCTGAAACTCACATTCGACTTCGAGAGGATGGATTTGGAAAAACATTAGCAGGTTGTGGGTTGAGTCTCAGTCACATTAAAATAGAAGTGGGAAATGCTGAAGACATTAGGTTGTGCTAAGATAACTGGACAGGGTATGAAAGCTTAAAGATCAAATTTCCAGTGACATACAGTTTCTCCATCAATAAGAGTGGTACTATAGCTGAATTTCATTCAAGTTCAGGCTAGCAAGTATATTTTATAAGAAACTTGAATGACTGGGAAGTGGATGAGTGGATTGTTTCTGTCAGATGTTGCAACAGCTAGATTGAGTTACTGATCAGAACAGAAGGGAATCCTTGATAAGGGCAGATAGTAAGAATTATAAGTTCTCAATTGGTAACTGTTACAGAATTTTGATGAGGCAATCAGACTGTTGGGAACTTAATTGGCCCTGGAAGATAAAACTCCCATCAAAGGTGGCATGCTTTGATTGGATTACAGCCTTTGAAGCTTTCATAGCTCAGAATAATCTCCAGAAGAGAGGTTTCTCTATTGTTAACAGGTGTTATTTGTGTGAAGAGAACAGGAATAGAACATTTGTTTCTCCAATGTAAATGGTCCAGGCAATGCTGGGATCTATTCCTCAGTATCTGGTGGTGTTTCTTAGACAATACCTAATAGCATGAGGGGTCTGCTGGAGTGCTGGCAGGGACAGGGAATTCAAAAAACTTGAAACAAATCAGGATCACTATTCCTCTATGATTTTTTTGGACTCTATGGTTGGAAGGGACTAGAGCTTGTTTTGAAGGACAAAAAAGCCTTTATCTCTAGAACTAAGCACAATTGTTCAATCTTTTTTTCCGGTGTAATAGCAGGCAAATTGAAAGTATGGAGCAGTATATGGATTTCTTGGAAATGTCAGGAGGAAGATAGTAGTTGCATCTTTGTTGTAGTACACACTGTACAGTAGATTCTGATCTGTCTCGAGTTCTATACATTTTTTTTTTACCATCTTGGTACCTTTTATTGATAATACCTTCACCATTTAAAAAAAAAAAAAAAGACTACCTTGAGATTATAGAAACCTAATAATTTACAAGTAAAAACAAACATTTTATTTGGGACAAGTTTCTATTAGCATAAAGTAAAAACAACTTCTCTGGGTGACCTTTCAAAACACATTAAAATAATACGTATTCCATCCAATCTCATTTTATGTGATGCAGTTTGACTGTGCACAAAGTTCAAGAAAGAAATTACTTTTATAACTAGTGGTCTAAAAGAAGCCATAGATATTTGTGTGGCTATAAATTTTCTCATAAGAGTAAAAGGGCAAGTTTGAAGCTAAATTGTTAGTAGTAGTAGTAAATATAGGAAGGTAGTATCATTCTTTTTGGGACACACTAAAAAGGAAAATGCATCGTATAAAAAGGAACATAGGAAGTAAAAATCACAAAATCCACAACTTGCAAGTAGAAATAAACATTTCATTTAAGAAAATTTTGAGGTCTATCAGAATAAAGCCAACTACTATAAATAAACTTATTGGTTGACCTTCAGATTTATTGTCCAGTTTTAAGCTAGGCAGGTGCAAGCACACTTGATCTTTACCAATTTCCAGGGAGTTGTGAAATTTAAGTACCAATAACACATCATACCCAATCTAAACAGGTAGTTGAAAAGTCAATGTTAAAAGCGGTTGACTGATCGACAGAGCATTTCCTGGTGGTTCTATATTCCTCAGACTTACAAGTTACTATAGCCACTTGCCACATAGAGATACAAAAAACTACATGTGTAGCATATAATGAAAACTGATATGAAGAAAAAGAGAATAATGCTCTTACATACAGGAAGTTGGTATTCTGTCTCAGAAACTTGACGCCCTCCTCGGATAGCAAAATGAGCACAAATGGGATGTTTACCTTTTCTTGATTTTAGATCGAGGTATAAGTACCCCAGGTCTCCCTGAAAATACGTGTTATAAACTAGTTCAAGTGGATGGATGTTAAGACTACTACTAAATGGACATTAATGAAAGAGCCAAATGCACATCAGGATATTAAATGATCAAGTCAACAGAAAAAAGAAAGGTAAAGTTAAGTTAAATCTGCCAACATTCCGAATTATTGACAACTAGTCCATTCTTGCCGTCCAAAGGTCAATATTGCAAAGAAAAAGAATGATTCATGCCAATGTACTAATAGGTTGATTAGTAAATAAATAGCATTAGTAATAACAATCACGAAGTAGATTTCCCCTTTGCCACACCAAATTTATCATCTCAAAAGGAAAAAGCTAAAATAAAGAAAGAAAAGGAATTCTCTTGAAGAGGTCAGAACTGGGAATTCAGTAATCTCATAGTTAATATGACATATGTTACAATATAACAAGACAACCACTATTTCTAGTATATTAAACTTGCCTCAGTAGGATGATGTAACACTATCTTCATCACATCAGGATGCCATGATTCACCAGGTGCAAGGGGTACTCCATGAAAGGTCACACCAAAGAGTGACTCAACCAAAACCTTCAAACCCTCGATACACTGTTGTAAAGGAAAATATGATGCTATAGCCTGCAATATTGATAGACAAGAATAGTTCTGTCAAAAAAGAGAAAACCTTTCAGAGCATGTAAAAGTCTTCATTAGAGCAGCATTATGCACTTCATATGTCAGCTGAATCAGAATTCTATATGTACTTCTAGATAGTACAGGTCTATATGGCATACCCATTCACAACAAAAGTAAGCAGAAACGGGAAATAAGTACACCTCAAAATTTTCAAGTGTATGCTCTCTCCTCCGTCCATCTCATTTTAAGATTTACATCCAACTTCACCAACAAGAACAAATGAAAGGTAACATTTCCATGAAAAATAAATAAGAACACAAGACCAAGTCCAATTTACTCAATTATGTTAGTTGCACATGAAATAGACTACACTTTGACAAAGCCCGAAACCCTAACGGTGGTGCTAGATTTGCTCCAAGCAGGAAAACAAGGATGTGGACAAATCCTTTTTAAAGACTAAGTAATTACCTCAATGCTTCAAGTTCCAGGAGGACCCTGACCTCTCAATGCCTGGGAAACATGCCTTAGTTTTCATTTTTAGTTCAATTTAATCAAATGACTTTGCATCCCTGATTAGCTATCATCAAATAAATTGTAAGTTCTCATCTATCTATGGATACACGAAAATAAGAATGCAGAGTAAGGAGAGCATTGATACACCTTGATAATAAAAGCTCAAAGAAGTAGCAAAGATAACAGAAAAACCGTTAGGCTTAACTCTTTACCGAGGAGTCCAACTTGTATTTTGCAGACTTCATCAACCACGTGAAGTACGCCTCATCCCATGGATCCAACTCTCCATTGGGATCACCACTATTCTCTCTCTTGAAATTCTGAATCGCCTCAAACTCCTATTCAAACATATGAACATTTAGAAGAGCTTGAAACAGCTCCTACAGAATAACATAATCAGTGTCTCATTCATATAAAGTAAAATCTACTTCCAGGACATACTTGATCAGCCTTGGGTCTGACCACTTTGCTCATCTCAAGCAAAAAGGACATGACCACTTCAGGAGATGCAGCCATAGTAGAATGCAGAGCAAATTCAGCATAAGATTTATGCCCCATAAGCTGCAAATTAAAAGGGCAAGGCATATTAGTATTGACAACAATGTCTCTTTTTTCTTCTTTTTTTTCTTTTGGGAAAGATGCTTAGTAAAATCTAAAACATCGTTTATAAATGCACAAGTGGAAGTAATAGTGAATAGTGAGAATCAAGGACAGCTATCTGGCTGTCAAATATCTTTGGATTTCTTCCACTTGAAATTCGATTTGAACCAAAGATGGTAAAAAAGTACTGAATAATGATTGGTCGAATCAGGAAAATATAAATTCAACATTGCCAATCTTAAGTTACAGTCTCTGCCCCGAAATAGTTATCTTACTTTCCTGTTTAGATTGTGACAAGATATTTTACTACATATCTTCTTATGCTGCTATTCGTATAGAAACTATAAAGGGAAGGTCCAGATGTATTCTACTCCAATAGTACCTTTTTGCATCATGTTCTCATGTTTTTATATTTTTTTTCCCTGGAATTATGATGAAATATCCAGCATTAGTTAAAATGTGTGTGACCATCACTTCTAAAAGCGTAAGCTGTTATTCTTTTAATTGTATTCTCAACAAGCTCCCTCATGTGCGAACTTGATTCTTTTTCATGGGTCAAGCACACAATTTTTTTTTGATAATGGGTGACGGTGAAATTTGATTCCTAGGACCTTTGCCTGCCCTGATACTACTAATACCATGTTGAAGTGTGTGACCATCTCATCTAAAAAGTTGAGCTATTAGAGAGAGAATAGTTTTTATTATTTAATAGTATTCTCAACACGCCTCCTCACGTGCGGCCTAATTCTTTTTCATGGGCCAAGTATGTGGAAAATCCATTTGATAATGAATGGCGGTGAGATTTTATCCCAGGAGCTCCACATGCACTGATACCATGTAAAGAAATGAATTTTGGGCCTAACTCATCCTCAAAAAGAAAATATCCACAAAGGTTGTTGCCTATGTACATACAGACTCACGCATACAACAAGTGTAAATAATATCCCTGACTTCACCCCTGTACTTGGAAAGGGGAAGGTTAAAGGACATTCCATCACCTCTCAGTATAATTTGAAGTTCTATTTTGAAACAAAAATTCACAACTACAAAATTTGTAATGAAACTGATGCATTAGAATTAGGTCACATCTAAAATTAGGTCTTTCATAAATTCCATTATCATTAGGTCATCTTCTTTATTTTCTTATTTGACAACATGGCATCAGAACCTCTTTGATATTGGTAGAGACTAAAGTAGCTTCCGTCTACTGGCTTACGACCTTATACTGCCAGTCTGGCTACTCCAGCAATACCATGCCTCTTTGGAGTGACCGTTTCAACAGCACTATATATCTTTTCCAGTGATTTTTCAGCGGCGCGCCTATTTTTCAGCCATTTCCAGCGAGATTCCAACGACTAGACTTCTCTGATGAGATTCTGCGATGATAATTTTTTTTACTGATTTTGCTGCAAAGTTTTCAACAACCAACTGGACTATTTGCTTTACATGTTTTCCAAATAAGCAAACTCAACTTGGTATCTCTACCATGAGTTCTAGGTACATGTTTGAATTTAGCAACATTACGTGTTAATATTAAGTTAGCTACTCATTGATTAAATTTAAAATGCAGATACATAGAATGTATATCAAACCAACAAATAGGTGTGTCTTGTATTTCATTACATCATCAAATCACCTTTTGTGGAATGTATCTCACACCAATAAATAAGTGTATCTTGTATTACATTATCATCAAAGATTCAAATCAACTTTACTCTCTTATTTCACACAATGTTTCAGAACTAAATTGGTAATTAAAAATGTCCCTTCTCGAACAACTTAAACTTTTAAATAAGATGGTCACAAAATTTAACATAGAACAACAACATGCAGAGGTTTTGTGTAGGATCCTTACTGCTACCAATAAACAAAATCTCCACATGCTAGGCCCAAAAAATAGAATCAGGCTACAAATGAGGAGGCTTGTTCTAGAACTAAATAATTTAGAATTTGAAGTGCCCTTTCTCTAATAGCTTAAGTTTTTTGATGAAAAGATCACTCAATTCTTTTGATGAGAACTTAACACAATTCAACAAAAACTAATCACTTTGCTAGACCAAAAGTGTCCACACACCAACCTGTGCAAATTCATGTCTAGTTGCAATAAGCTTATCAAGAACCTCAAGGTTTGCATGTGGAACAGAATTTCCTTGAACATATGCCACCTTCCTGACCTGGACAAGATCATGAGAAAAATACACTAAATCTTTGAGTCATTGAATATAAAGCTCTTTTCTTTTTCCCATCGGTATTTGAACGAAAGATCATGAAAATAAACAAATAAGGTAAAAACAGTTGAGAGAAATATAAATGTTTAAGTCTCTTCTTAACCTGTCAATGTATAGAGAGATTAGATGGAATCTTTTGGATGTCGAAAGGTGTTTATATGAGGAAAGGAATAACAAGGTAATTGCACTTAGTTGAAATAAAGTGAAAAATTGTGATTCACAGAGCAAAGGATTGTCCACATCTTTTCTGTTCTCCATATTTGCCAAGTCCAAAAATTGATGCACAATTCATGAATTGGTGCCATAATCATTTTTTTTTCTTTGGTGGTCTTCTCTTTTCCTTTCCCTAAGTCTAAATTCATCATTCAAGACTCCCATACATAAACCCATTAATCGTTGAAATAGATATAATGTTTACTAGGCTTCCACTGTCATCCATGATTTTTTTTGACAAAGACTGTCATCCATGATTTTCTATGTTAATGTAAGAGGTTTACCTTGAGCTGCTAATGATTTAGTTTACCGACACTAGGAGAGAGTGAACAGGGAAGAAGTTGATGTACTAATGTAGATATGCATAATTTTGATTGCTCTAAAAACCATTTAAAAAATTTCTCAACAGGATTAAGTTATAACAGAAATCCGAGGTTGCTTAATGTTACCCCAGCATCTGGTGCACATTGAAGAAAGCCTTGCAGAGTACTTGACTCAGTTGCTAAGCGAAATCCTTTTTCTTTGGTTTTATCTCTTAACCCCCAAGATCCCTTAGATGAACCTGGCAGGTTACGATAGATAGGGCTGACAAGGTGGTGCAATTTTTTAGGGATCTTAGACGCTGGAAATATATCCACATGGCCTGGGTCAGTAATAATATTTTCATTATACCTGACAAAAAGAAAAAGGAAAAATGAGCATTCATTCAGTCATGCAGAGCTGCATGACTAGATACATTACAGGAAAATTGATACATTATGCAATAAACAATAGTCAAAATGAAATTAAGAGCTGAATAGAGTCCTGTTCCAGCAGATAACCCAGAGGTGAGTTTGCAAAGACTACATCATTGGTCCCATAACTGCCACTTACAATGAACAGAAGAGAAAAAAATTGTACTGTCATCAAGGAAGAGGAAAAGGAAGGAGGAGATGAACGGCTCCTTTTGACCCTTCACCAGCTAGAGGCCTTCAAAGGTATTACTCAAGAGTTCACAGTTGAAAAGCATAATACTGAGCACCTATTTAATTCTGCTTATGCAAATTTAGATGCATTTCAAATTAGATGCATAAACTCAGCCTGAAAAATACGAGCTTTGTTCTAAACAAATTAAAGAAAACATTAATTAAAAAGAAACAAAACAAATCTCAGTCAAACACCAAATTTTAACTTCTCCAAATGCTAGTTCAGTAAATCATCTAAAAAAAGTTGCACGTGCTGTATGGGTGCTCACTTAAACTCAACTACAGATCTGTGAAAAACTGAATATAATTTTTTTTTTTTTTTAATGACCAAGGAAACCCGTAGCCGCTACCCTTTGGGTGCGCACAGGGTAACCCACAATAGCAAGCCCGGTGCGACGAGTTCGACCCAGAAGGCAAACCTCTTGCTTTCGCTGGCAAGGGGTTTCGAACTTGAGACCTCCAACATGGAAGTCCCAAGCCCAAACCACTGGGCCACCCCGAAGGGTAAAACTGAATATAACTTTTTCCATTAGGAATATCATAAATTTGATAATCACCCCAGAAATTAAATTTAAGTTAGAATAGCATAACTGGTAAAGATTCAGTAGACTGAATCCAACATATAGTCAAAATTCAAATGTTCCATGGCGTAAGTCTACTTATTTGAAGAATAAAGCTGTGGTTCAAATATCAATTGATATAAAACAAATAGTACACAAGAGGGCAAGAAATAGTGGGTAAATCTCATTTCAAATACAAAACCAACTTCTAGACCTACAAGCATCATGTGATCTCTTTTAACAACAGCATGAAAATTACAGAAAACATCAAAAAGGTCCATCAGTTCATAAAATTCCAGGAAGACTAACAAGGAGGCGATTCTCACTTACTCTCTAGACAACTGAATAATGTCAATGGCAAGCTCATTAGCTCGATCCAGTTTTTCTGTGAAACCACCAAAGGTTCTTAAATTAGTGAAACAGCAACGATTTACCGAGAAAAACAGCAGTTGTAAGAAGTCAAGTACCAGAGCAAAGATGGATTCCACCCTTCTCCAAGTCCATTCGTAGAAAGCGGGCTGCCCTATGCGCTTCATGTGTGAGTGAATTGCTGTCTTTTTCTGCTTTGTTCACTGCCTTGTATATACTATGGTTTGTATTAAGATACTGCATACCAAGGAGAAAAAAAGTCAATAAACCAATTGCACTGAGAATCTTCCAAAGCAACTACATCTTGAAGAGAATCCATCACTGGCAAGTGACATTTCCAAAATAAGACTACCCTTATACAAAGTATTTCATTAATCTAGTGAGCATTGCCAGCTTGGAGACAGTTTTGGTTCCCCAACCCCTCGGGGGGTGAGGCTGGGGGGGGGGGGGGGGGGGGAAATGGGGGGG